ACCTCTCGGCCACAAAGGATCGTTCGGTTGGCAAGGTCGAATTTACTGCTTATAAACTTCAATCTTCCATGAATCTCGTACATTCATAATTGCTCATGGCGTATAAAACCTTGCCAACCGAACGATCCTTTGTGACCGTAAATGACGGTTCCGTATAGGATGCAGGTTCGAATCCTGTCAAAGGACGAATATTTTCTATGAAAATTTCTCGGACATTCAGGCCGGTAAATGTTATTTAATACTGTTTATTATAAACAGAGCATTTACTTAAATACTTGTATCTATAAAAAAGAACGTTAAACATAAAAATGTCTTTAATAAATAAATTGTCGGACTTTGTCCATTTCTTAATATATATATATATATATATATATATATATATATATGAAGGAGGCACGGTGAAGTAATGTATAGCGGTTTGGATTGAGGAATCCAATCGAATCCATTACATTCACTTACGTGCTAATACCAGTGGGAAAGGTATGAATCCTCTTATCCCTCCAGTAGCAGGACAGACTGGGTTCTATAGCCTTTGCTGCTCTAGGAGAAGGATAACTCTGAATTCAAAACCTGCAGATGGTCGTTTGGGGGCCTTGTGGCACGTAGTGCACCAGGTCTCTGTATTTGGCGCTTCAAAAAGTGTGGATGGTTCTGCACAAAACCTTCACCACTATAATCAAATCTCATCTGTCTCTGGTGTCGTGCGTTAGGTTCCTAGGAACTGATAAACTTGACACTCATACGTCGAATTCGACAGGAGAGTCGAATATATATATATATATATATATATATATATATATATAGGCAGCAATTTTTCATTAATTCATGTTTCATTAAATAATATAGAAAAGTTTTGTCGATTTATTTTAAGTAAGTTCCTTTCTGATAAGCTTAATAACATTATCAGTGAAAGACGAAAGGAAATTACCATATTGATACATGTTTAAATTCAATGTAATCTTTCGGCTTGCATAAGCCATTATCAAAGATGACAATTATCTTTCCAAAAAATTCGCTTGATGATGAAACAGAGCTTTATACCTTAACTCAATTTAATTTTTATAATTAAATTGAAGTTTTTAGCTCCTGTTTTTGAAACATGGGAATTCTTATGTAGCGATGGAATCATATTTTTTTAAAAAAATAATTATAATCTAGTCTCTGCTTATGTACTGAGCACCGTTTTTTCAAAATAAAAATGCTTAAGAACTTCGGATTTTTAACCTAACGTGTTCTTTCTTATTTTTCTATATATCTGCACACACACACACACACACACACACACACATATATATATTTATATATATCTCTCTATCTCTCCCCCCTCTATCTCCCTCTCTCTCTCTCTCTCTCTCTATATATATATATATATATATATATATATATATATATCATAAGTGTATGAGATTTGTGTGTGTTGCATATACATGTAGAGTTTATTTTTGTAACTGAGTTATCAAAAGCAACAGTAGAAAACGGTAATTGATTTATTACCTTTTGGTACAGGGAATCATAATATAGAATAGAAACTAGGGAAGAGATTGTTAAGGCGTGAATGACTAATTGTTTTCAGCAAACACTACTGCTTCTACTGCTCGTCCTGCTACTCCTCTTGATGTAGGAATATTTTGATGTCTTTCGTCACACGGCCGAGTCCTAACTTGTAGGGAAATATTCTCCCTCACAGCAGTTATATATAGTCGTAGGCATTAGTTAGGGAGTCTATTGGGGTGGCTAGCTAATCCCAGTTGCAGGTTATTCCTCAGGCATTTTTTTTATTTTTACAAGAACCAGAGTTACCTTATGGTTTATAATTGTATCTGATGAAACCTCTGTTACAATTTCTGTGAGAGAGTGCACGATCTGGTTTGTTCACTCAAAACCTTAGTCACGATACTAACACAGCCATCAACGGCTTCCATAAGGTGTTGTTGACCCAGTTTCATACACACGGCTTGGGCTAAATTATGATGATTTTCAGGGACTCTTATACAGGGTGGGGTGCGCAGGTTAAAACCTTGCTGAAGAGACATTTTCATTATTATGTTTTCTCTTGCGCACGCGTCTATTTCAAACACTGGTATCAATTAAAACTCTTGTTAGGTGGCCAAGTGATCTAAAACACGACCGCTTAGTTATCTTTTCTAAAATAGAAGATGCAGGTTCAAACCTGCCTTGAGAGATATTTACAATAGACATAATGCATAGTGCATATAAAAAAACAAAAATAAAAAAAACGAATCGAAGTGTCTATTTCAAAAACGGGTATCAACTAAAAATAACGTTTGTCGATTTAAGAATAAATACATTAATTCTTTATAGACATAGAGGTGGGATGATCCAAAAGTAGGTGGACTGTATGTGGAATAGGTTTATGTATCGGTTATATTATTACAACTGAATATCTTGATGAAACATTTCCTGACAAATGGATTGGCCGAAGAGTTCCAATTGATTGGCCGGGACGTTCACCAAACTTGACCCCAATAGATTTCTTCTTTTGGGGGAGTACTCAAGCACAAAATTTATAGTCGAAAACCCAGAAGTATCGGTGATTTGAAAAATTACATAAGAGATACATTTCAAGAAACTAATACCCAAAAAGACTTGTGCAAAAAAGTTTGTCGAAGCGTTAGAGAGAGACTTCAAAGCTGTGTAAATTGTGATGGAAAACAGTCTGAGCACCTGCGTTGATAACATTTAAGGGATTTTGTATTATTGTTCACAATAAAATTTAAGGGCTTTTGTATTAATGTCCACAATAAAATTTAAGGGCTTTTGTATTATTGTTCACAATAAAATTTAAGGGCTTTTGTATTATTGTTCACAATAAAATTTAATTATCAATGTAATAATTGTGTTAGTAAATATAAATGTATGTATATGTAATCTCAAAATAAATGTAATTATTTACTGTCCACCTACTTTTGAACCACCCTGTATATAGTGTAAATATTACGGTTTGTCTATATTTTTTAGATGAGGTATTGTAAGAATTTACACTATTTACATTGTTCGGACGGTTATCTTCATCTTTGTTGATATATTCAAGACGTTTCAGCAGTTTTACACTCCGGCCTTCTTCACGTAATTGGAATTTCGAACCGAACTCTTTACTTCGGATTCCAATTCCCTGATTGAACCTTTTACCTCGTACATCGGGGTAGAATGTTCTATCTCCACGTGCCATGCCACTTCCGGATATCTAAGTTTCGGTTATTTCCCTGTAGTAACTCATCTCTCTAAGGTATTTGTTCCCCTCTGTTTGGTCAAGTATTAAACTCACAATTCTGTGGGTCAAGTCACTAGAATACTTCGACCAACGCTTTTATCCACTGTTCCATGTGTCCTTGGAGGAATTCGAAATTCCAATCAGCTGAAGAAGACCGAAGCGTATAACAGCCAAAACGTCGTGAATATGACAATAAAGATGGGGACAATAGTCCGAACAATTTAAATAGTGTAAATAGTTACAATACCTCATTTCAGAAATATAGACAGATCCTGAAGAAGGCCGGCGTGTACAGCGCCTGAAACGTCGTGAATATGACAATGAAGATAGGCACAATAGTCTGAACAATGTAAATAGCGTAAATAGTTACAATACCTCATCTCAGAAATATAAACAGAGAGTAATAGATTAGCTTAGATTTTTTTCACACGGCCATCGGTATGAAGAATTTGATAAAGTTCCCGACAGTCTAGTAATGACCAACTTGACTGGCTTGTTAGCAATTACACCCATACCAAGGTAGGGTAACATATTTTTAAGATATTAACTAAAACAGTAAAGATTTGTTAAATTCATTTAGTGACTGTTTACTAACTAAAACCTATACCGAAGCCAGTGAAATTCTGATATTGCTGTGGTTTTATCTAGTCCAGGGTTAAATAAGGCAAACAAAAGCTGGTAGATGGTACTGCGCCAATCTTTCAAGTGAGGCGGTGTCGGCTTCTTTCGCAAATAAGCATTAAGAATTCAGTTTTGTTTTCTTACCTGGGCTTGAACACGGACCACTGGCACCAGGCGTTATAACCACGTGGCCGGCTACGAACGTCTATACACGGTCAGCTCAGTCACACCTATCGATACTCTCACCCACATATATGCAGACGGACATGCGCTCACATATAAACTTTCTCGAGACGCACGCGCAGAGCAACCCGCATTTAGAGGGACCCGAACGCAGATGCACTTACCCGATCCTCCGTAATTTTCCAACCTTTGTGTGTCATTAATTTTTTTTTTCCTTTCCCCCGCCAAATGAGCCGTAACCAGGGCTCGACAGCCATATTGGCTAAAAACCATGGCGTCTGCAGTCTAGCGAAATGAAAATACTGTTCGATTACTGGGCCTGCTTACTGGAGCGTAAGGACATAGCCGACAACGAGAGGCGGGGAAAAAATAGAGGCGAGAAAACAGAGCCCCTTAATTAAACGCCAAGTCTTAGGACCAAGAAAGGGCTAGCACTATTTCTTTCGTTTTTTTTTTCTTTACTTTTTCCTGTCACTTGTTTTCTGTCCAGCTTCCTTGCCAACGAGAACTTGGAATAACCCAACGAAAAGGAGTAAGTAGAAAAAAAAAAAAGGAAAAATAAAAATAAAATGTCGTTTCTGGAAGGACGTAAAAAATGGACCGGTTTATTTTTCTCCAAGACTTTCTTTTTCTTTTTTATTTGCAGAATCTTGGAGAGATTTATTTTTGAATTTTTTATGGAATAGAACTCTAAGGGTTAAGAATTTGAAAGAAATAATTTTTGAGTGTCTTTCTTTGTGGGGTTACTTTTTTTTTTTTTTTAATTCTTTCTTCGACCTCGCACTGTCTGGAACTTTAAACCACAAACCAAAGGCGAATAATCACTTTGTCTATTTCATACTTCCCTACAATAAACTCATACACAAAATCACAAACACACACACACGCACACATACAAAAACGCACACACGTAGAAAGAGAAGGAATAGACATAGAGAGATAGATACATAGAAAAGAAACAGAG